TTTTTTTTTTTTACCCACGACCTTGCTGTTATACGGCTGCACTCTAACCAACTGAGCTAACCGGCCAGCCCCAGTCATATCCCAATTTATAATCAACATGATGGAAACCATTTCAACCCTCTCTCACTTTCTGTTTTTCCCTTCTTAGAGTTCTATGCACTGTGTTTTTTGGCTGTTAGTATTTTAATACTGTTTCTAACTTTAGTGAGTGTTGCTCTTGTGAAACATGGGTTTGGAGTTACCTGAATTACAGTCTAAATAACAACTCTGCTGCTTCAGTTTTGCTGAGGCCTTAGGCAAGATGCTTTCATCATGGTGATCCTGTTTTCTTAACCCAAGCTGGAGGTCACAGTCACCTCACAAGGATGCCAGGGCAATTCAGTGATATAATGAATGTAAAGTGCCTGCTTTGGGAAATTAAACAAAATAAATCCTATTTGCTTTTCCTTCTTTCTCTTCCTTTGAAAAGTGATGGGCAGTGTAAATAGTCCATGGTTAGGCACTTGGACCCTGGACCCAGGTTTTGAATCCTCGCTTTGTTGCTTACCAGCTTTCTGACCTGAAGGGACTCAGTTTTCCCATCTGCAGAAGGGGGATAATTATGGTTCCTACTGCATAGGGTTGTGAGAATTCGGACAGTTAGTGTAATGTAAGTATTTCCTCACGCTTCATATCTTTTATTCCTGCTCTCTTCCTTGTCTGATGTGCCCATCTTTCTCTTCTCAAATATCTCTCCCTTATTGTTATCCTTGGAACCTTCTATAATCATTTCCTTCCACAGAGATTCTAACTTGCTTCAAGCTCGAGTTCCTATAACCCTGGTTTGATTTCTTTTGAGTACTCGGTGTGGACCAGAGGTATGTTTCTTAGCTGTGTGGTGTAGTAACATGAACGCGAGCCCAGGCTCAAATCTCCTTTCTGCCACTTATGAGCTCTGGGACTTTGGGGAAATTGCTTAACCTCTCTGGTTAAATGACTGAGAAGTTTCCAAATCTGTAAAATGGGACTCATTTTCCAGTTGCTGGGAGGATTAGACAAGCACTTGGCATGTAGTAGGGGCTCACTGTTAGTCTCATTCCTTTTCTTTTTTTTGTCTTGATTTTCCCTCTGATGGTGGAGAGGTAGCATGATCCAACAGTGTGGATCTCAAGCAGGGCTACATATTAGCATCACCTGGGGAGATTTTACAAGCAAGGAAGCCCTGGCTCCACTCCCCAGCGAGTCTGATTCAACTAGTCTGGGGAGGGTTCAGGCATTGGTTAGTTGTTGTGTTATTATATTTGTAATGGTCTCCAGATGTTTCTAGTGAGCAGCTAAGACAGAGGCCCCCTGGTCTAACAAAGAGGGCAGGGTCTACCACTCACCAGCCACTCAACATCCACTTCTCTGAGGCTCATTTCCTCATCTGTAACAACTCGAGTGAAGTTGTTGTGAGATTCTATTAATCAATGTATATAAAAATTGCAGAACATAGTGCCTGACACATACTTAATATGTTGTTCAAGGATGTGAAAAAGAAAGCATGACAAGGGAAAAATCAGTTCTCACAAATTCTACCAGAAAAGGACAACTTGTAAGAATTGCCCCAAGACCCCAGGAGTAACAATGTTTTGTATCTGAGGTTCCACGTTTTGTGTATACTGATTGTGCTGACTCTCTTCCTATTTTGTAGCTACATTAGCTGAGATAGAGGAATTATGTGTCCAGTGTCAGACTGGAGGCTGCCACAAAGCAGAACCAAGGCCCCACGCCTGTTTGTGGCCTACCCTCCCGCTCTCCTCTCTTCCTATTTTGTAGCTACATTAGCTGAGATAGAGGAATTATGTGTCCAGTGTCAGACCGGAGGCTGCCACAAAGCAGAACCAAGGCCCCACGCCTGTTTGTGGCCTACCCTCCCGCTCTTGTGCAGATAACCTGATGCGGAATGACCTTGCCTCTCTCCCATTGATTTTTCCCAGTAGTTAAGCTACAAGCAATCAATGAGAGAATGATCCACAAACAGATAGGCATTTTACACAGCACTATTTCAAGAGGAGTCTGTTTCTCTGGCTTCAATAGCCTCTAAAAATAATAGGTCTGGAGGTAGCTTGTTTCCCTTCTCCTTCCAAAGATGATAGTAAATCATTAGATCAGAGTTTTTTCTATCTCCTCTCTCTGCAGTTCTCTTTAAAAGAGTTCTCATTTGCGTTCAACTAGAATTCGAGGCAGGAACAGCAAAGTAAGTTGTGCAAGGAAACTAAAAAGCAAAACATTTAAATTTCCAAAGTAAATGTAGTCAAATTAAAATGAGGGTAGAACTGTTGCTACCATAGTAATAATAGTCCATGCTTCATAAGTGTCTAATAAAGCTCATTTCACAACTGATTCAATTATGGCACCTTAGTCAATAAAGATTTGTTGATTGATTGATAAAACATCACTGCAATCATTTTGAGTCTTAGCTCAAGGTAAAATATTTTCTAGTTACTATAGTCTTGCCACAGTCACCGTAAGGTTATCTCATAGTGTGGTCTACTGAACTACACCTCTGGAATTTCCTGAATACAATGCATTCTTGAGATACCATATATTTAAATAGTTGATAATGTTGTTAGTCTTATTTCCCTATCTCAAGCAGTAACTTTAAAACAGCACTGCAAAAAATCTGCAGCTCTTTTTCTCCAACACATGCTTCCCCCTCCCCAAACCCTTACATACTCAAGCCCCACAGCCCCCGCTTGCTTCACTCTTCCTTATGTAGCTGGTTTGGAAGCTTCCTTAGTCTTTGGCTAGAGGGGTCT